CAAGAGAGAATAGATACTGTTGATCACCACCAGTCTTTACCACAGGCTGTCCTTTTATTCACCAAATGTCCATTTGTTCTCTTCCTACACATCACAGTCATCTTGTCTACAAGGAGACAACCTCACAGAGGCACTGTCTTTATCCCCAGTCCTATATACAGCATGACTGCAACCCTAATCTTAAACTTCCTCTGGAAAGAAGAGGCACCTATTAGTAACTGATTTATAGCCATCTTGGACTTCTGCAGAGGGGCTGTGGAGATCTATGGCAAGAGAGTTCCTTGATTCCCTTCCTTGATTCCTCTTTCTGGGAAGTCCAGTCACCAAGGCCTCCGGTTCTGCGAGGGTCTCCATGGCTACATCTAAGCTTCTGGGAGGAGGCTGTCAGGCGGTGGGAGTGGGGACAGTTTTCAGGAATGCTGAGGTAATTGAGGGTCTATGGATTATGTTACAACTAAAGCAGTCAAGGCTTCTTTAGTCTAGGCCCCTGGTTTCTTTGACAACCTAATACCTCAAAAACTTAGTTGACTTCTGATGGCAGATCAAGTTTTGGTAATTGCTTCAAGTTAGTTTTCTGTGACAGTTGCCAAAGTCTAAAAGGCATTTATGCCTATCTGAATGTTAAGAATATCTCCTACTGAAAAGCAAAGTATCGTATTCTCACCTCACCAGTAAGCTCAGTAGAAGTCCAGCTGTACTAAAGTAGAACAAAACCACTTCATGGTTTTGGTAACTTTAGGGAAACTTTGGTATATGGTAAACTTTAGGGAAAAATACAGTGGGAGATAAGAAAATAAAGAATATTTGCCTAAATAATTGAAAAGTACATATGTTAATTGTAAATCGTAAGAAACTAGAGAAAAGGCTATAAATATGACATGGTCTGGCAGGTGTATGGCATGTGTCCTAGATTTTACATATTTTCAAGTAAACTTGACATAATATTTCAACAATCGATCATGAAGTTATTTCCATTATACACCTACAAAACAGTTCTGAATGATTTCTTACAAGTTCTTAATTGTTATAATTTTAGGTTTTATGTATCCAGATATTTCAGTAAGAAGTCGGGAGAGACTGTCCTGAGAACCACTCCCTAGATCCCCAAGAGTGTTGACCATTCTTTTCACTTTTAGTGAGTTCCTATAACGTCAAAAACACCTCTGTGCCTATAAGAAAGAGAAATATTACAGAATTTATTCCTTGTTATTGATGTTGCTGGGACACCACTTGCATCAGACTCCCTTGGCTACCTAAGGCTTTGGTGGATGAGTTCGGAGTCCTTTTCCTGATGCTTATGAGCAAGGATTTGTGAGAGTGTTCTCTTTTTTGGGGGAAGTATATGTAGTGCATTTTTTCTTTATTGCCCCGTCTCACTTTTATACTGGGTAGATCTGGAGTTCTCCCATGGAAAGGGGAATACGGAATGCTGCTAGAGGAAAGAAAGACTCCTCTTCTTGAAAACCTTAGAATTTTCTACTTCAGGCTTGTGGAACCAACTAGATTTTCTTCATGTTGTTGATTCATTCAATGCGTGCTTATGTATAATATGCTATTTCCTAGGCTTCATCAGTGGTGTTATAATGAACTGTTTGGGAGAAAAAACCTTATGCATCGAACTGAGGATCCCAAAGCAAAAACGAATCTGAGTTCATCTTCACGATCTTTCATTACATAAGAGTTGCAGTCTGCCTAGGGGAAAAAGGGTGGCTGTAACATTTGTGTTTTTAGTGGAGAATTTTTCATCCCATTTCAAAATCATTGACGTTTTAACACCTTGCCTTTCTCAGGAAATTAGGTAGATTTATTTCTATTTTGTTCTACAAGTCATGGAATTGAGAGTCCGATATGAAGTGACTTGCCCAAGTTTCTGTAAGTGCGAACACAGGACTCCTATTCAGGCTCCTATTATAAATAGCATTAAACTGATTCTCATTATATGACTTATGAATAACTACCACCATGAAGACTGAAAAACTTAATTGCTGGTGATCCACCCCTGAAATTAAAATCTAATTTTATTAATTGTTGAGAGCAATTTGTTACTAAAATTCTCAGTGGAGGCTCTAATTGCCTTACTCAACCAGACATTATTTTTGAATGTTCTGTAGTTGCCAATACTAATGTGATAACTGTAAACAATTTGGGAAAAGCGTCCAAATGATTTATATATTCTACTTGTTTTTACTCTTTAATGAAATCTGAGTACATTATTGGTTGTGGCTATAGTACATGTGTTTGCCATGTATTTGGAAAAAAAGTATGTATAAATGCCACAATATGAAGTAACATTTTGGAAAAACAATTACATATATGAAAATACTCTAAAAATAAAAATTTTGACCTATGAGAATAAATTGGAACCAGTTGTATATATAATCACTTACTGCCTTTCAGTACAGCTTGGCAAATAGATCATTGCTCCAATAACTGGGAAACCATTGCCCAAGTGAAAACTAGTTTTGCTGCTCTTAATAGTCCTTAAAAGAAAGTGTTTGGAATTTGATTGGCATTTCTCATGAATCAAATTGCAGTGGCCCTCTGCAGATAGGCAGGTTGCTAAAAATACGGCATGATCTAAATATAATTCTATGAACCACCTGTTTTAAGTCCTCCAATTTCTTACCAGGTTCCTTTCCAAGTTGAAAAAAAATGCATCCTTAAGAGCCTTTAGGCAAAGCTCTAATACTTTTACTTGAAGAGAAAGTCCTCTGCAACGGGGTGGATTATAGAAAAAATGATGGAAGTAACATACGTTCTTCATGGATAAACACAGAGGAGCCACTTTGAAGACAGATTATTCTTGAAGTATTCTAAAACATAAGGTTCTTGTTGAAGAAAAGCCTTTGACTTATAAAGGCCATCTTCTAGCACAACGTAAAAGGAGGTTCTGATAGACTCTGGATAGAGCTGTTCTCACGTCCATGTGGGAATTCAAGTTTGACCCCTGTGCAGTCTTATTGGAATGTTAGGATAGAAATATAGAAATTAGATCTTAATCCAAAAAGAGTATAAAAATTTCCAAGGTAGATCTTCAGTATAGCTTGGGAAAAGTAGTTTTGCATTCAAAGTAGTTTTGTAGATGCATTTAGGTATGTAATAAGCCACCTCATGTCTATTGGTATCTTTTACCAAGATACAATCACATTTCCCTTCTTCAGCATGCTTTTTTAAAAAGGCGGAAAGCAATTTTTCCATGGGTTCAAAAATAGTGTCTTTGTTACTTATAAGCATACTTGAAATTATTTTTTCTGGGAAGCTACAGGGAGGTGGAGTTTTGTTATATATTGAAAATAAGTGATTTGTAGTTATAGTTGGAAAACAGGAACGGGTAGAATTAGATATGCTAGAGCACAGGCCTCTAGAAGAGTATCCAAGAAATAATGGGAGGTCTTCTTGTACCCTAGATGGAATGTTTATTCTTTGTAACCACAGGATGTTCCACTGTATGGCTATACCATTCTTTATGTAAATAGACATGGTCAGTGGTCTTTGAATTGGGTCTGTTTGCAGTTTTAACATTTCTGGAGTCATTTTGATAAATCCTATTTTACCAGAAAATTATCATAAATTCTCCCTCACTGTCTATTTTTTTGCTTTCCTCAGGCATTGGCATCTTGTAATCTTTCTCTTCCAATTGTCATACCATTGCTATCACTATAAATCCAGTTTTGTTACCTCTATTCAAGGTTCCAGCCTTTATCTTAGAACTGCTAGCATTTTTTTTTTTTTTTTGCCACCATCTATAACATACAATATGTATAGGCAAAAGCTCTACTCTTATGGAACCTGATTTTAGTGAGTAGTATCAGACAAAAATGAGGTAGTGATAAGTGCTTTGAAGAATAATGAAACTGGGTAAAAAGGATAGATCTAGGAGGTGGGGTGATGAATGTTGAACAGAAACCAGTGGGGGGGAAGTGCTTGAGGCAGAAGTTTAAGTGCAAAGGTCCGGAGGTAAGCATTTCTTGTCATATGTGAGGAATATCAGAGGCACCAGGAGCTCTAGAATGAGCTAAGGTGGGAATGGGAGAAGTCACAATTGTTGGTCACCTGTGTGTTTGGAGGGACCCTGGGGGAAGGGTGGGCACATCAGGACATTGTAGACTATGATAAGGACTTTGGATTTTACTGAATGACTTAGTCACGTTTGTTTGAATGACATGATCTAGACTTGAGAAATTACTGTGACTCCTCCATAGAAACTAGACTAGGGGTTGTTGGTTTATAGAGGAAACAATGTGAGGTTAGATCATGGATGTGGTAGTAAAACTTGGCAGAAGTGGTTGGATTTCAGTTATGCCTCAAAGGTTGAACCATCAGGATTTGCAGATGAATTGAATGTGGGATGTTAGCGTGGGCACAAGAGCCCATCCTTGATTTCTCTAAGAACTTCTGGCCTGAACCATTGGAATAATACTGTTGCCATTTACTGACATAGGGACCATTGAAGAAAGGGCAGGTTTGGGCTGAAAATCAAGAGTTTGGCTTTGGACATGTTCAGGTTGAGAATGCTACTAGTTATGTAAGTGGAGATGTTGAAAGACAAGTTAGATAGTGAATTCTGGAATTCAGAAGGTAGATCTTTGTGAAAACTCTTCAGTGGCTCCGCATTGCTTACAAATTCTAAGTTGCTAGCATCACCTTTAAGATCTCTTATCTGACCCCAGACAACCTTAGGGCTTGTCTCTCGCTCACTGCCTTATATAGACCAGGCCAAACAGGCTTTCTTATTATTAGAATGTTTGATGTTGTTACCTATGCCATTGTTTATACCTGGAATGCCGGTCATCTCAACTCTGCCTATTAGAACACTGCCCAGTCTTCATGACTCCATACATAAGAGCATGAAGGGAACCACAGAAAGGAAATGTTCTAGTCAGTGGATGACACTTAGTGAACAGACTTCTGGAGGTCCTGCTTCTGTGTGTGCTCACTTTAACCTGTGGCACTGCATGCTTTCCCTTAGCGACCAAGTTAATTATTTTCTTTGTTTTCAGATGGGAACATTTAAAGCGCATGATGGTGAATATTTCTTAGAACCTATAATGAAGGCAGATGGGAGTGAACATGAAGATGATCATAACAAGCCACATCTTATATACAGACAGGAATTAAAGAGCAACTATTTTCTGCAATCTCACAAGCCTTGTGAAGTTTCAGGTAAACTATGAAGTAAAACTTTTTTGGTAAAATTATACTATTTTAAGTATTTCTCTAGGTTATAATTGACATATCTTCCTTAAATATGGAAGTATGATATTTTTTTTTTTAAGATTTATTTATTTATTTGAGAGAGAGAGAATGAGAGAGATAGCACGAGAGGGAAGAGGGTCAGAGGGAGAAGCAGACTCCCTGCCGAGCAGGGAGCCTGATGTGGGACTCGATCCCGGGACTCCAGGATCATGACCTGAGCCGAAGGCAGTCGCTTAACCAACTGAGCCACCCAGGCGCCCCTGGAAGTATGATATTTTAAACAAATTTTCTTGGCCCATAAGGACCCATTAGAAATTAGTGGCTGTGGGCAATTTTGTAAACTAAATTCAGATCCAAAAAAGTATTCGGTATGGATTTGTAGCAAATAATCATAAACTTCTTACTTCAATCAGTTAGTCACACTAGTATGCTTTTTCTTAGCAAAATTTTAGATAATTGAGCAAGCTAGGTAACAATAACCCATTGCTTAATTTTGTACCATTTCAACTTTATATGTAAAAGAAACCCTTTTATAGTTGTCTCACTCTTGCTCAGCATGGTGTTTGAGGTTTATGTTGGTGTGTGTGGGAGTTCATTCTTCATTGCTATGCAGTATTGAGTACATTACAGTTCATCTATCCATTTTCCTATTGATCAACTTTTGGGTTATTTGCAGTTTGTCATTATTATAAACAATGCTGCTGTGAATTTTCTCGTCCGCATCTGCTGTGTTTGAGGTTCTCCCAAGTATACACATAGACAGTAGAGAATTCCACATTGTTATGTAAAATGGTTTTTGAGTTTATACTTCCACCAGCATGACGTATATTTTTGATTTTTTTCCTACAAAATTCAGACTAAAGATTTATAATGGATTAGAAGATAGGAATCCTAGGTATCTATAAAGTATAAATCTGTTGGTAGTAAAATATTTGTGCATTGAAGTCCTAGTAAGAGTTGTGTCCATATATGTACATGAATCTTCATATCCTTGTCATTCTCTGAAGAATGGAGAAAGGCACCTGCAGTTATCATCAAAGTACAAAATCTAGACAAAGGAGTGGGATTAGAAAGGATTTATTTGAGATTGTAGGTGTCCATAAACTATAGTTCCAAACACTGCAATGCCATCTGTTTTGGGATATAATGATATGTAGGCCTTTGAAGGTTTTCTCTGGGAATGCACTTCTTAACCTTTGCTATTATAAGAGTGCCATTTTGGAGTGGTTCTCACTGTGTGTAAGGCCGTGTTTTAAATCTATTGACATAATAGATGCCTTTCTTATGCTTTTAATATGAGCATAAGGGTTTCATTTTTATGGCTTCAAAGAAAACACAAATGGGTACAGCTTCACAATAGAATTCTACAGAAGGCAGCTTATGCTTGTTCTGATCGACCATTCAGGAGCAGCTTGTTTAATGAATTGTTTAGCTTCTTAAGAAAACCACCAAGTAGACACTCTGAATGCATAAATGTTTCACATAATGATATGCAGGGTTTTGCATTCACACTCAGTGTTCATTATCAGAAAGAGAATGGTACAAGAAAAGCCAGAGTCTTTTGTTTAAAACATTTTTTATACTAAAGATTTATTATAAAAAACACACAAAAATAGAAAGCTATGGAATTGTTTTTTAACCACAATGTACTTTTCCACAACATTTAATTACTAAAACATTGAAGGCAGTATCCATTCTTTTCAATTCTTAAAGTACCTCCATTTTAAAGTATAATTAACATACATATCTTTAATAACAAAGCAATCAATTAATGGCCCAAATAATTAGCTGCTAATCATCATTTTGTTCGTAAAAATGGAGAGTTGTGAATGTAATTAGTAAAATGTTGTCAAAGGCTTTTTCTTCCCCAATTCACACACTATTCAGAAATACTTGCAGGATCTTATATTCTATAGGTGAACATTCATGAGAACCTCTTCAAATAGGTTGGCTTAAAGATTTAGCATATGAACCAAAAAGGTTAAGTGGAAAAGGAAAAGTCATTTTTTCCATATGTCTGTTGATTGTCTTAATTCATTATTACCCTAAAATGGTGCAATTCATAGCAGTTTCAGCCTTGGTGAATTAGGTTGTTTTCAGCATCAGATTTCACTGTGTGCCTTGAGGCCATACAAATTATATTTGGTAGCCAAACCTAGCTATTGTGGATACCAGGCTCCCAGGTAGACCTCAGACATTGTCTAAGTAAAATTGAGTAGAAATGGCAAAACACACAGAAAACCCACAAGGTGAGCAAACAACCCCTGCACCCCCCACAACACTACCACCATCTACCCTAACAAAACTAAGACCTCAGAATGCGGAAGCTCTGAAAAGGTTGACAGGAATGAAAAATCTTCTGGATTTTAAGTGTAGTTCTATTGCTTGTCCTCCAAGGCGGAGCAGAAAGAAACACAGAGAAACTGTGTTTCTCAGACCCAGTAAGCCCTGCTCCCTTTCTTCCACTGCCACTCTGTCCCTCTCATCTCCGTGTCATGGGGTTAGGAGCTTAAAACATTTGTTCTATTAAACAGGACTTGACATGAGTGAAAATGAAATGTCCTTCAATGGGTTTTAGATGATGTTGGCCAGCTTTAAAGTTTCTGTGCTTTTCCTAGTTTTTTTCTAAATTTATTCTTTCTTAGGCTTTGAGTCCCTAATATGTGCAAAGGATTGTACTGGGTAAGACTTGAGTGATTCTCTTCATTCAGGTTCTCAAAGCCCAGTGGGCGTAAAAGAACACAAGAACAGAAATCACAAAACAACCAAGGCAGCCCTGTGTTAGGAGCAATATTGTATGCAGCTCAAGGGGCTGAGAACAACTGCTATGGGTTTTTACCAAGGAGGTGATATTTAAACCACTTAATCTCCATCGAGAAGGCTTTCAAAGCATTTTCTAAGCAAAATAAAAAGGGTGGTCTTGGAGGGGGACTTGCATTAAAAAGTACCCAGGATTTGTTTTGATCAAGTGTGGTAAAGTGACAGACATGGAGATAACTGCCTTTGAAAGCATTTACTTAAAATTTGCAAGCGAAGGGGACATGCCCCATGACAAGCCACGTGAAGAAGCATCTGGGTTGGTCAGGAGGCAGAAAGGAGTGTGGGGAAAGCATTAGGCAAAAGGTTTTTTTACTACAGTGGTGGGAAGTTGTTCGGCGGGGAGGGCCTCCATTCAGCAGAAAGTAAAAACCGATATTGGGGTTTGTAGTTGGAGGATTTTTTAATGATTTTAGTGTGCCTGTGAAGACGAGTGTGCTGGTAGACATAAGCATTGCATGGTCTGGTCCCGTGGTTGAAGGTCAAATCAGAAATTATTTAATCCATAAACGTTAGAACGGGTCTATAGAGTAGCGGGGAATAATATCGGTATGCTCAGAGTCCTGACGTGTGTGGAGAAGAGCACGGGAAGTAGGGGACGTGGGGCTCTGAGGGCCCACAGATGCACATCTGGAAGGACTGTAGTGTTTTGTAAGCTATCCCATAAGCATCGAGGAGACAGTTTTAAAGCCGAGACATCCTATGATCTTTTAAGGTATCACTCAATTGGCAGCTTTACTTTTTAAAGATAATTTTGGATTTGAACGAGAAGAGACTGAAGGCCAAGGGACTGAATCAAAGCAGCTATGTTGTTGACAAAGGATTCAAATGTCAAGTACAATGCACATAAAAGGGTAAATTGAAGATAATTTCCTTAAAGCTTTTTTCCTCAGCTTTGAGATGGTAAAAGCTTGATTCTGTGTGTAATCCGTATGGATAATATTCCTGTGAACATGTGAGAATTCTTGTAAATTTCATTTACATGCTGATTAAATCTTTAAATGGGAAATAATCTGTATCAGTTTGGGGGAATATGGATGTCTTTAGTGTCAGCAGAGGCCATAGTTGATGTAGGAAGCTGGGAGTCAGGGAAAGAGTTCTTCTGGCTTTGAGACCTTACCCTTCTGGGTCTTAACCTAGAGTAGGTAGTAAATGGCTAATTTAATGTTTCAGTAAAGGTCAAGTTTCCAGGTTTCTAACTTCAGTATCTCACAGCTATAGGGACCAGGCAGTTATAAGACAAGAATAAAGCAAGGTGCCATCAGGACACTGAGGTATCCACCAGGACATAGGCGCATGCTTCCAGCAAAAGGTGCACAGGGAATGTGAGACCAGTATTACCAGATCTTTTGTATTTTATAATTTGAAAATCTAAGATCTTTGTGTGGGGGGTGGGGAAGAAACACAAGAGCCGCATTTGGCTGGTTAGCCACCTGTTTACAAAATCTTAACTTTCCAAGGTCTCTGACCATGGCCAATATTTTGAGCTAATACATTTGTTAATGGTGTTTTTAAGAGTCAGCTCAAGCTTTTAAATACATAAATAACTACAGAGAACTCACTCTTCTGCCCACCCTTTACTAAAACTACTCTCAAAGATCACTTATGACCTACTTGCCAAAAGTAATAATCTCACCATTTTTAGGGAATATTTCTCACTATTGATTGACTTTTTTTTTTAAGATTTTTTTTTTTTAAAGATTTTATTTATTTATTTGGCAGAGAGATACAGAGAGAGAACAGGTACGCAGAGAGGCAGGCAGAGGGAGAGGGAGAAGTAGGCTCCCCGCCGAGCAGGGAGCCCGATAGGATCCCGGGACCACGACCTGAGCCGAAGGCAGCCGCTTAACCAACTGAGCCACCCAGGCGCCCCTAAGGTTTTTTAAGATTTATTTGAGAGAGTACCTGAGTGGGGGGAGGGGCAGAGGGAGAGACTCTCAAAGCAGATTTCCCGCTGATTGTGGAGCCTGATGCGGGACTCAGTCTCACAGCCCTGAGATCATGACCTGTGCCGAAATCAAGAGTCGGATGCTCAACTGACTCAGCCATCCAGGCACCCCTGTTGATCGACTCTTAATGTAATTATCCTGTACCTTTGGCTTCTCTGACCTAATTTGCTTCCACCTTGGCTTCTTTCTTAGCATTCTTCC